TCCTGAGAGCCATCTAATACAGGCATGTTCTGAAGGAAACGAGTGCCTCTGAAGAGCATCTCTGCAAGTGAGAGTCTAAGCCCCTCACAGGCAGTTATCCAGTTCTCATCTTCCAATTGAGCGGTCTAATCCCTATGCAGTCGTATAGCACTTCTCTCCTATTACTGAGGGCTTATTTTCTTCAAAAGACAGTGCAAAAAGACATGTTTCTGTGTACCAAATGTAAATGAAGCCCCACAAAAAATTAAATGGAAAGACGCTCCTGGTTTCCCATGTGACCTGTTCTAAACAGAGAGGGTTTGAGATGCTGGGGACAGGCAGGTCTGGTCATGTACAGAAGAACTCTTGATACTTTCGAGAACTCAGATGAAGACATCTGATGATTTTAAGTATCTTCAGCACTCGGTAGAAGCATCTGATGCAAGGCATCATGTAAGTTATGCTTTAGGTAGCTAATATGCAGGTCAAGCTCTTAGGCTCTAAATTTATAGACTCTTCAGATTAGCCAGCAATTCATCTTCCTTTGCTTCTCTTTAACATTTTTAGTGATATATAAAAAAGCAATACATGTGTGGAGGAGAAGAGTCTCTACTCCAGAAAAAGACATTGAGATTTGTAACTGAAATAACCACTCTGTGTAGGCTTTTTTTGTTTATTCTTTTTCCTTTCTAGGTTAATTAAACATTCGCATAACTGCTATGATTCTAACTCTTTTCAATCATAGTCCCCTAGGGCACAACAAAGGGCTTTCCAGAAAGCCAAAAAGTTCTAAAAAATGAACATATGGATGTGTGAGATGGTACTCATAGAAATAGTGATTATTGTCTAATTTTCCTTTTTTGTTTTTTCTTTAAACTATACATTTTAATAATGAAAACAGAATTAACTGATGTTCAAGGATGTGCATCATATATATCTACCCACAGACTAGTAGTCTGAAATGTAGAGTAAACCTCATCACCTGGGTAAGGCAGTTCTTTCCCACCTCAAACCAGTTTTCACTGGATTCTTGCTGCAGTCTCAAGCTGTGGAAATGCTTCACGTGATTAATTTTAGAAATGTTACATTCTCATAAGCTTCTTTAAGTTAGAATTGTATAAGTTGACGCTAGTGTGAATAGAACAGAAATGTTTCTTGATGCAGTGGCACTAGATTTTGGGGATGCTTCTGTATGCATTGATGTTATGACAAAGTAAAATCCAAGCTCAAGGATTGTTGGATTTCTGGATTCTAAAATATATGCTATTTCCTTTCTAAATGTTTTTATAGCAGCAATGCAACTTTTCTTATTTTTCCATGTGGAAACATTTGCTTCATTACTATTATTAAAGTGAAAATATTATGCTACTTAATTTATTGTTTTCATAGTAAATGATCAATCAGGCACGATGTTAATGCCTAAACAGTGTCCTGCTGAATGTCTTCTATTATCATATTTTCTGGTTTTATTGCAACTTTTTATTTTTTATCCCATTACATATTTTTCAGGCTGGATGAAACAGCAGTGGAGGTGGAAGGGGAGAAGCAGGCAGCACCACATGCTGTGGGACAAGGAGAGTGTGCTGCAGTCTGGTGGTAACACAGCTCTGACAGCTCATGTCTCCTCAGCCATTTCCCTGGCTGGCCCTGCATATGGTGCCATGTGATCTCAGAGCTGTCTAATTCCCTCATGATCATCACGTGGCTTTCTGTTCCCTTTGATCCATCAAGGCAATTAACTTTTCTGTGACTCTGCCTCTCTCTGTATTTATGAGTACTTTTTCAGATTTCACACTAAGGAGCAAAATTCTCCCTCAAAACAGTCATTAGCATTACTGAAATATCTTATCTGAAGTATCTCCCAAACAACCTTCTCAAACAGATAACCAAAATTAATTACCTAGACAATTATGACACTGATATTAGCGGGAAAGCTTGTTTTAGTCTTGCAAAACAGCAGCCATAGACCTGTAGTTCTGTATAAAACAAATTATACAGCTATTATGAGCATTACCTATTTAGTCTTCTAACAATGTGTGGGGTGTTTTTCCCTCTGCTTAAAATCAATCTTTTTAATCCTACTTCCCAACCCCCTTTTACTATTATTGCAGCAATATATTTAAAATTATAGTCTAAAATATTTCAATGAAGGGCCTCCTAAATAATTTGATAATGGATAACAAAGTATTATTTAAATGAAAATTTTTTTCTGTGTACTTTTAAGATTAGTGCATGAACTACTTATCATAATTTTTTAGCTATGTATCTATTTCTCAGTTATGTTAAACAATATTTGAATATTGATTATTCACTCTCCATGTTTTTATGTGAAGTGCAGCAGAATCTTCTTGATGAACTTTTTTTTTAATATACTGAACATGAAAAGAGAATGTACGTGACAGCCTGTCCTTAAGATAATCATATGTATGTGCCTACTGCAGGGGCACTGTCTAGTTGTCATTAAAACCAGGAAAGGTAACACTCAGTTTGCTTATCACCACTGTTCAGAACACTGCACCACCATGGCCAACACCAGTACTGCACACAGCAAATTCTGACACTAGAAAAAGAAAGAAAAAGCAAGTAACATGATTTGCTCTTTGCTGAAAGCATTCTGTATCTCACCTATTTGCAGTCAGTTCTTCTACCTGCTCATCTATATTCGTTTGAATGGAAAATGTAGAAGTATATCATTACTACGTGCAACAAAAATTAATGATAAACTTTTCAAACTCTGTAGTCAGTGTAACAGGCAGATTTGGCTGCTCTTAAGTTATCTGGATTGAAATTTGAATAGCTCACATTCTAGTTGATCTTTTCCCCTTCAATTTTCTAAGAAGTCTTAAATGAATGACTGGCCAGGCTTGAATTTATCAACTTTTCATGAAAACTAAACTTGACTGAAAAGAATAAAAAAATAATTTTAAGGCAGTTGAAATAAAACACTGTTCCCTGCTGTGCAGTCAGAACCTCTAGGTTCTAACTTTCTTTGTTTGCACTACAGTCAGCTAAATGCATCCAGGGAATGGATGAGAGGGTCAGGAATCCTCGGGCAGTCTAAGCTAAAGAAAGTCACATAATTCTCCTGGCTGTGAAAATCTCCACTGTTTTAAAACTCTAGGAATTCTTTGTAGGTTCAGACCTCCTGACTCTGTGGAATGCCTTTTGAGATGCCCTGGAGCATCCTGTTGAGCCTTCAGCTGCTGTTCCAGGGTAACATTGGCCTTCTGTCACACCAACCAACCCTGTGTGAATGCCTGGGATTCCTTAGGACATTCTGAATAGTTGTCAAGTGAATTCAGCTTTAAATGTCTATTAACATCTCATGATGCTCTAATTAGGTGGTGGAATCTAAACATGATGGAGCTCACTCCACAGAAGACACCCAGTGGATGCTTCACCACGCTCCTCATGCTTCATTAACTGCATTTACCAGGGATGAGATTCAGCTGCCCTAGCTTCTAGTGCCACCAGAGATGTCCCTGTATATCCTCCCTGGCCTCCAGATGATGCTGCGGAAGGGCATGGTTTTTCCCTAGGTCTTGTGCCAGCCCCATCTAGGTGCCCTGGACTCTATACAGCATCTCAAATGCCTCTGGAGAACTTACATTTAAGCAACTGAACCCTCTGAAACCGGAGCTTAAACACCCAGCACCCACATAGGCATCTATGTTTAGGTGTGCTCATTTCCCAGGAATCTCAGCTATAACAGCCTCTAATACAAACCAGAATAGAGGCCGTTCTGGTCATGATCATTGGTATCATCATTGTTACAATACATCATCCAGGAGTCCATGCATAAGACCTAATTGAAACAGCTGTTGTTTGCATCTTATACCAGAATTATGTATTGTTAAGAATTTAGTTGCGATTTTGTTTCTTTAAGATGTGTATAGATGGGATATAGATTATTTCAGTCTCTTGTAAATTGGAACAGGAAACGTTGGAATCATTTGCATGTCTCTTTTTTTTTAATGGTTGCTGGCAAGGTTCTGATGAGCCAAATCCTGGATTCACTGTTTTATACGGATAATGGAAACACTTCACTACCAAGGCTGCCGAACAATTCCAGCCTTCCTGATTTCACATGGAGATCATCCAGAATGGGACCACAGCTGGCCTGATAGACACCTCAGTGGCACTGATATCTGAGTTTTGAGATGAAACAAGAATAGTTTTTGCAGTGGAATGTATCACAGAAACTACAGATAGCTGAGCCAAGTGATTTAAAGGCACTAACCGAGCAAAGTAAAGAAATAATGAAGAGGGAATTGAGGTAGCCAGCTAAGCAACACCAAGTTAATCTATAATCAGGTGTATTGTCTTAAAGAAGTGCATAAGGCAGTCACTTAGGACTTTAGGGGCTCCACAGATGATCACCAGAGATTCCTGAAGAAGCCCCTCATAGGCCTTATAAGGATGTGTATATATGCCAATAAGTGTTGGGAAGTGTCATAAATACGTAACAAGAATGCACGGAATGAAAAATGAATAATCATATAATGCAGACATATAAGCTGTAGCGAAGATACCTCTGGGTGCACTTTGGCGAGCTGATTCCCAGGGCAGCTGGCCTGCTGTGATCATGCAGCGCATCATGATAAAGAATGCCTGCTGCCTAAAACTCACAAAATTGAGTCTCTGAGGTTTCTTTTAGGAGCCGATTTTAGGCAACACCACCATGACTCGCCTGATGGACACCTCACTGGCACCACAGCCTTTTGGAAGCACACCCTGATGGGACCACGACCTGCCTGGCGGACACCTCAGTGGCGCCATGACCCGCCTCAGGGACACGATGGCACCACAGCCTGCCTGACGGACAGTCCGGGCTCTTCCCGCGGGAAGCCGCAACAGCGGAGCTGTTTCGCTGAGAGCTGCGGCGCCGGCAGAGCTTGCCATGCCGCAGGTTTGCTGTGCTTCCCTCGCTGCTTCCCCGTGTGAGGGAGCGGTAGCGCCGCCGACCCCGGTCCGCCCGCCAGCGGAGGCAGGCAGAGCCGGCGGAAGCGATCCCGCCTTCCGCTTCCCCTGAGCCCGGGAAGAGGCGGGCACGGCCGCGGCCATGCAGGTCTCTAGCCTCAACGAGGTGAAGATCTACAGCCTGAGCGCCGGCAGGAGCCTCCCGGAGGTGAGGGCGGCGGGGAGGGACGTGCCCGGCCCGGCCCGGCCCGAGTCCCGCAGCGGGAGCTCGATCCGCGCGGTGCCGGCGCTGGGCTGAGCCCCGGCCCGGCCCGGCCCGGCCCATGTGCGCTCCTGCTGGGCGTCCTCACCGAAAAACGGCTATAAGCGTTCTCTAAACTAAAAATGCAGTTTGAGTGCCTTAATTCTCAGAATATAGGGCTGTTGTTCCAGAGACCCTTAAGCAGCACTACTTTGTAAGTTTATTTTGGTGTGCAATCGTTAAACTTCCAAGTGGAAATTTGTAAAATAATCAAGAGAAAAAGAATTAGCGGGCTAAATGTCTTATACTTCAAAGGCTTGGATAAACTTTAAATGATTCTCAGGTTCCTGTATGAATAATGAGCTTAAGACTGATGTATATATTTGTTTGCAGTGGCTTTCAGACAGGAAGAAAAGAGCTTTACAGAAGAAAGATGTGGGTGAGTTTTCCCCTCCCAGGGTCCTCAGCTTTACACATACACATTACAGAACAACATTCAGGTCCAGAGCAGATACTTCACTGATACAAGGAAGTTATTTCTAGCTCATATTCTAAAGACTAACAATTTAAAGCAACAGGTAGTTATTATGACTTTTTATATAGTTTCATGGGAACAGAAAACACCAGTGGTGTTTTAAATTTCAGACATTAAAATATTTGGCTTGTGGATTGTACAGAAACCTGATGGATGAATTCCATGTATGGCTTATGATAAAGTCAGACTGGAAACTCCTCTGTATTACTATGTTAATCTTAAAATGCAAATATAATCATCTTAGCCTAAACTTGTCATACAAAATAAAAATGACTATTTGGAAGTATAGGAAGTGTTGCATAAGAAAATTAAACAAGCGAAAAGTGCATAGTTAACAGGAGATGGAATGTATTATGCAGCATATTAACTGTGTAAAATGTGTGATGAATATCTGTTACTACATTATATAATAATTTGTTACAGTTACCTCAGAACAGTAATTTACTTGGCACAGAGCTAGCCTGCTTCTCGGTGTTAACAGATTGTTAATCTGCTTATAATGTGTTAGTTAAAATGTTTAAAAGATAAAATATCTTTAAAATGTATTCTTTATATTCACTTAGCTCAATATGTTTCCTTAAGAAACCGTTATAGCTTTTTGGTAGGATTGTGCTAACTTTGCAATTTTTTTTCCTTATAGATATCCGTAGAAGAATTGAACTTATTCAAGACTTTGAAATGCCCACAGTTAGCACAAAGATTAAGGTATCAAGAGATGGGCAGTATATTATGGCAGTTGGTGAGTTAACAAAGTGTCTCTCTGTAGCAGAGGCCAAAAGTCGTAGAAAATCTTGACTGCAGAATGATTTAGGGTTTCAGGTAGAATTGATAAGAGTTCATTTTTTAATGTTAACACTGAACATAGTGTTGGAAGTTTACTCTTAAGGTGTGATAGAATGGCTGTCTTGGTAGTGGTGCCAGGTCTGTTTAGAATACAGAATTCTTAGAAACATAGAATGGTTTGAGTTGGAAGGGACCTTGGATGATCCTCTAGGCCAACCTCCCTGCCACTGGGTTTTATAACACAAATAAAAAACAAATCTGTTTATAATACAGTTAAAAACTAAGTTCAGAATTATTTTTATTGTATGTATGTAAATTTGCTTTAAATAACTTCTGAATATCATTGTTTGAGTGTTGTTTTATAGGATGAAGGATAATGCTGCATTTTGTAACTGTCAAAGCAGGACCCAAACATGAGTACTTTAGTAGGCGTTAATACCACAGGGAGCCGTGGCCTTTCAGACTTACTGGAAGTTATTAACTCTGTTATGATATACCTGGTAATCAGAAGAACCTGCATACAAGTAGGGTGTCTGCAAGCACCAGAGACAAAGATCAAGCCATAAGCTCGTGTTCTTAAGAGGCATATTTTTCCAGTCACAGAGGCTTTGGGAAGATCAGAGTCATTACGGTAGAAATACAGTAAAGTCTGTATATGTGAGATACTATATGTTTTTTTTTAAAAATGGTTTAATATTACCTTTTTATTTAATTTTTTTTTTTAATTAAACATCAAATTTTTCTTTCAGGAACTTACAAGCCAAGAGTCCGCTGTTTCGATACCTATCAGTTATCCCAAAAATTTGAGAGATGCTTAGATTCTGAAGGTTAGTATGAACTATGGCTGTTACTGCAAGATGTCTTTCATACATAATTCAGTTCTCAGGTACAGATTTCTCTCCCTGTGCTGAGGGGACAGAATGTACTTTAGGGGAACACAAGAATCTGGATTGAAACATCCCCTAGTCTTTACCTCTCTGTTTTTCCTGTGTCATCCTACTTCAAAGTTCTTTCCCTCTTGGAGCAAGTGGTGTGAGGAATGTAAGATTTACCTTGAGGCAGTAACTGTGGGGCTCAGAGGGTGAATGTGGCTGAAGTCTGTGTTCTGTTTAGTGAATGTGACATGGGTACAGTGGCTGGGTGGTTGCCAGATCTCCCTTCTTTCCCCTTCTGTGAAGCAGTCGGGTAAGAGAATGCATTGTGGTTGCTCTTGTTTTCTCCCTGGAGCCCAAGTTCAGCAGCTGAGTTACAGGGTAAAGGGAATTCCCTGAGAGGGAATTTTGTTTGTCTGGTTTGGGTTTTTTGTTTGTTTTCTTGGAAACAAGGTACTTAGGAATAGATGGTAGCATGGTCAAGGCCCTCACGACACCTTGTTTGCTATTGATTTGGAGGGAGAACAACTGTGGTAAGGGAGGCAAGGAGCTATCTGCAGCAAGGAGCTACAGTGGGAAAGGGAGAATTTCAGGAGAGGTTTTTAGGGTGCCCGAGTTTGGGTTTGTTTGTTTGTTCTTTTTGTTTGTTTGGTTGGTTGGTTGTTTTTTTAAGATTACTGATGACTGAAAACTGTAGTAGAGGGATGACCAAAACAATGAGGGGATAAGCATATTCATTACAGAAGAACAGTCTAACTCTGATGTGTGCAAAAGTGCTGTGAAAAATAAAACCTGAGAACTGCTGAGTTAGCTCAGGAAAAGGGTAGTAGAGCGTGGGGGTGGGTTTTTGCCGTCTGCCTCAGGACTGCAAGGAGTCACTTAGGGTGAAGGAACAGTGCTACAATACAGTAACAGGGGAGGTGGTAGGGCAGGGTTTCAGAGAGACTGGGGAGAGGAGGTATGGCAAGAGTGAGACCCACTTTGAAAGATGGAGTCATTGTACTACTAAATGCTTGCTGGTAATTAGAGCTTAAAGTAAATTTTTTTGAACTGGCATCTTACTAGACTGCAGAAGTATGTTTAATTTGAAGTATAGTGTAGAGTCACTTCAGGTAACTTTAAATGAGTTATCTCATTTAAATGGAACCAATTTAGCTGAAGCAGCTGCTCCCTAATGTTCTCAACACAGCTCATTTAAAACTAGGCAAAGTTCAGTATGTTACAGTGTTGAGTATGAACAGTAACTTTCACATTTGTGATTTTTTTTTTGAGCCTTATAACTTTTTTTGTGGAAGAGCTGACCCCTTAGAAGGACTGCATGTGCCAGTTTATGTATGTGTGTCCAGATTCATGTCATATTTTATCACCTTTGATGGAGCACCACAGCTTCATGGACCACACACTCATCAAAAACCATTTGATTAGACCTTCCCTGCACCAATAAAAAAATACATGACTGAGCATTGTGTTGAGGAACATGTCAAGTATACAAGAACGATAAAAAGATTATAACGTGCTTCATATGTTTCTAAAGTTTTAGAAACTACTTACTGTTTTGCAAATGAAGTTGTATAATTAAAGATCTTATCACAGTGCCTGCTTTATGCATTGACACCTGTGGGGAATACTTACATGACTAAAGATTAGCATGAGTGTAAATGTTTTCAGGATTTATGCCAATGTTTGCAAATAAGTTTGCTTACTTAGTTGACTTAAAATTCTCTTGCTCTCTCCTCTAGTGGTTACATTTGAGATTTTATCAGATGATTACTCAAAGGTATGTCTAATGTTTTCAATGTATAAATGAAAAAATTGTTTAGTATGTATATTAAAATGCATTTTCATATATAGTAAAGGCAGTCAGTCAACAGAACTTTTGGAACAGAAAAGTTTTTTTAAAAAAGCAAACAGGATAAACATTTTTTGTACCTTTAAAATGTTTGTTTTCTTTTTCTCTTTGTATTATAATTTGCTTTACCACTTTTAAAGTCTTTTGTGTAGTATAGAAAAACTTCTAATAATGATCTACCCTACAAACAAAATAAGGTGAAAAATGGAATTAGCTCTTCTTTGTTGGATAACGTTTAGTTACAATCCCATGTGATAAGTAGATGCACCATTTTTGAGGTGTGGGATAGCTATAGGTAAGTTAATAACCTGATTTGTCGGTGTTGTAGACATATGAATGAGGCAAAAATTGTGAAGAGAAGTAATGTCCTTTTTATTTTTATTTTTTTTTTAAATTTCAATTATTTCTTAAATGAAGTGCTGTACCTCAAGGAATCACCTGAGTTCTTAGGACCATGAGCCATTTTTCAGGCCCAGTACAGTTAAATATGAAATTTTAGCTTATGTAATTTCATTAGGACAAGCCTTTTTGTTTTGTTAAGTGTTTATTTTACTACTTTTTTTCTGTGAAGAGACCTTACCATTTCAGGTACAGGTTTGTTTTATTAAATACTCTATTTAGAGACAAGAACATCTACCCTTCTAGCTTTTCAAAATGTTTCCTTGTGAGATTTCCAAGGAAGTGCATGAATTTAAGTAACAGAAGGTCAGAGCTGGTACTGTACTGTACTTGTTTGTGGGAAAGTGTTTCTGGTTGTACAGACCAAACAGTTGTTTGTGAGACTGAGCAATATGCTGTGTTCTCAAATATGTTTCTGATTGGTTCTGAGCAGAACAGCTCTTGTATGTTTTTAACTATTTCTGGTACTGTATTTTGGACTGAAGCCCTGCTTTCTCAACTTAATAAACCTTGTTTTCAATTTTATTTTCCTAAAACTTAACAAATCCTCAGAAAGAAAACTAATTTCAAGTAGCTGTCATGATGTTGTGGACATGTTAGAAAGAAGGAATAATATTTGAGAAATTACACCTGAAATTCTTAGAATTATGAAAGTATTGATTCGAATTGGACCTTCAGATATCACTTACTGCTTGAACAGTTCTGTCAAAATCTGCAAGCATGGTGGTGGTTCCACAAATTTACTGAATAAATTGTTGCAATGCTGCACTGCCTTGTCATAAAGAATTTTTAGTTCCTGTCCAACCTGCTCAGGAAAATCTTAAATTTTTACTGTTGCTACTGTTAAGAGGGGGGTTTCTGTACGCTTTGTGTTCTGTCTCTCTTCTGTCTTGGTAGTCCTCCTGATGCTCTCAGCATCCCCCTTGAATTGGAGGGCTCAACACTGGACATGCTGCCTCATGCTCTTGTAGCCAAGGAAAGCATCGTCTCTCCATTTCTGTTCCTGCTATCCCTGTAAGATCGCTGTGAGGCTCATTTGCATTTTCATGGAGAGAGCACCACTTGTCTTTCATTCATATTGATACCATAAGACCTGTTACCCTTCTGTGCTCTCCTAAGTTTTAGACTTGAAAGTTTTATACTTGGAATAGGTTTTAGATTTGAGAGAGAGTGATATCTTCTTTTTCCACGGCCTTTTGTGAGAAGGCACTTACTTTCACTAAGTATTTTTGCTACACACCAGCGGTCCTTTTGCTAACCTTAGTTTATAGTTTTCTCTGACTAAAACTAATTAAAGAAGAAGGAAAGACAAACACCATTTATGGTGAGTTGTATCCACTGCTAATGGAAGAGGACACAGACATATTCAAGTCCAATATTGTGGAAATTTATCTTAATATAGAAAATTATTAGAGACTATTAGACACTTATTAGCAGAATATTTGTATGTTTTTGGTAGCTGTCAAAAACTTCCTGAAATCTTGTTGGAGGTAGAGTGGATAAAAAGAAAATTCACTTTTCTCATTGAAAACAAACTGCATCTTCTCTCTACCTTGTAACAGGTGATGTCTTACTGGTAGTAAACTAAGAGCCTGTAATACTGACATTTTTAAATTAAACAGGGTTTAGTTTTGTGTTCTTATAGTTTATGTAGCTTTGTACTGCATGGAAGTGCAGATATTTCTTCTCCTGCAATGACAATAGAGAAAAGATTTGATCTGGGCATTGTTTCAAACAGATAAGTAAAGAAGTTTGTTTGCTTTAAGCCTCCAGTTAAAAGCAGAAAGGCATGAGGCACACAAAGGAATGACTGGGATGTATATGAACAACATCATTGTTTAAGTCATAGTTATGCTTCTGAAAGATGATACTCTGCTTAGTCTTGGACCAAGATAAGCATGAATGAAAGTTGAAGCACTAGGCTTTCTGATATCAGAAAAAGCCCACAATAAGGAGGTACTTAAATAGGCATGGAATGCTAGCCCAGGTCAGTATTTTCCCATGTCTTTTAAGGGAGGAATATACAGATATGTAAATAAAGGTGACAGATTTAAAGTAACTTTTGTATGTCACCCTTCCTGAGATTCTTATCCTTATTTGTGTTGCTAACAGTGTGGTTTGGCAGTAGAAATTTTTAAATTTTCATTATTCACTGTTTATAGAAATGCATGTACTACACATGCTAAACTGAACCAGCATATTTCTAATCTAAGCTAAATAGGGATGAGGCTCAGAGTCAAAAGTTAGCCTGTGATTATCTGTATCATTCGTGGCATGAGTTTCAACCAGATCAGCTCTGCCTCCATTGCACAATGCCTGGGCATGGTTTGAGGTACAGTATGAGTGTAACAGGTGGGTGGGTAATACTGTCTCTGGAGGGGGAAGGATTCCTTCATGTGGATATGTTAATTTGCCATCAGGACTATAACAGCAGGTTCTGGCCTACTTTATTTACTGGTACAGATCAAGCCCTCTGGTGATGCCTCCCTGTGGGGTTTTTGCAGGACTGGGATGTTTTGTCTAAGTTTCAGAAAGAAACAATGTTCTTCCTCAGTTAGCAAACAACAAAAATGCAGAAAGACCCTTGGTGTCATTTATTGGAACACTGTATCAGGTTGTGTAGTTTGTGTGCTGAGTACCTGTGAACATGCCGATGTCTGTGCAGCGTCCTAACTGGAAGGAATTACTAATTAGTAATCCTATCTTGAAAGAAATGCAGATGTTAATTTTGGTGCAGCAGAATACTGAGGTGACTGGACTGCTTGTGATTGCAGAGTCACTTTCAGGGTGTCACATGCACTCTTGTGAATATTCATATAATGTACGTTAACAAAACTCTGCCATGGCTAGTGAAAATGGTGAAGCACTAGTTGATTCTATCACTTTAAAAGAACTTGTTTAAGTTGTGACGAGCCCGTGTGAGCTTGAAAAAAATCACTGAAGTTTGTGCTGTAAGGCAAGTTGGGGAGATTGTTGTCGTTTCTCTGTTTCAGTGATTTCTATTTTATTTTCAGATTGTCTTCTTGGAGTGTGGCAGGTTTGTGGAGTTTCATTCACAACATGGCCATTACTACAAGACAAGAATACCAAAATTTGGTAGAGATTTCTCTTATCACTATCCATCCTGTGACCTGTATTTTGTAGGAGCAAGGTAATAAGTGGATTATTTTGTTTCACTTTTGTTAGCAATGTTTTCCAAGAATGAAATGAACATTAAAATACTAGAAAAGTTAAAAAATTGAAGAAGTGGCAATTCCATCCAGATTAATAATGGACAATTTGAAAAATGGAAAATGTGGGAAAAAATTCAGTTTATTGTGCTGTTCTAAGGCTTCTTTTCTTTGATTCTTAAACCAGGTACATCATGTATTTGCAAATTTGTATTAAAAATTGCAAGTCAGTGTACTATGCTAAAAAGTGTTTAGCATCTATGTAAGGAAAATTAAATAATTTTTTCTATCCTGGTTGGTATTTTATTGCTGTAAGGTGTGAGTTAAATCATATAATTGAGTTTGTGAAAAGACATAGTAAAAATAAAATCAGGTCTTTGGGGTTTCAAACAAAATAAGTAGAAATTCAAGATATTGCTTAAATCATAGGAAGTTAAAAAATCTTAAGAAATGAGCTAATGTATCCTTTCCCTGGAAAAATAGTAATTGGTAGGATATTGAAGTGTAATAAATATGCTTGGTGAACATGCACATTTTTTTCTATTTTTAACACTGAGTTATAGATTTATCTTGTTGTAGATTGTGAATTTTGAAAATTGTGTATTTGGCAAAATTAGGCTGTGAACAAGAATCTTTACAATGCCTTGGAAGTTAGAGCAGTGCTTTTCAGTATTTGTAAGAAGGAGGAGTAATTCTGGATTTTTATTTTGTAGTTCTGAAGTATACAGGCTAAATCTGGAACAAGGAAGATTTCTGAACTCCCTGCAAACTGAAGCTTCGTAAGTTATCTGTAATGCATGACATGTATCTGTCTTCCTTCCACCAGGTGGAAGCAGACTACTAGCATGCTCCCCATCAGTTCTATCTCTGAACACTGCCCAAATGCAGTTGAAAGGGAACTTATGCTGAATTTGAGTCTCATTTCATTTTATGTTCTGTAATTTTTTTGTTCCGGTTTTCATGTTTAATTGAATTTTCTTTTGTGGATATTTTAAAATTGCTTAATATGGACTTATAATAGGCATTATATAACTTGATCTTAAGAGCATTTCATTAAAACTTTGCCATTACTGCTCAATTTAGCCATCATATAGAGATCTACCCACAGGGCATGTACTTTCCCAGACATGTCTTTGTCCTTCTGCTCTTGGAGTAGCCCAAAGAGAATTTTTACATCTCTAGCATGTGTCTGATTCTTTTGAAAACTGTACTAGAACAGGAACTGAACTTCTTTCATGTGGAGAGAGGTAGATGAGAAAACCAGACTTGACTAGATAAAGTTGCCAGTTGGTGGGCAACAGCTGGTGTTCAGTGGGTAGGACAGTTTAATGGACAAGCATTTGGGAAGGCACAATAAGGAACTGAGCAACAGGAAAAAAAAGGGGGGAATTCTGGAGTGGGAGGGATAAGGGTGTAGTGTAAAATTTGGATTACAGAGATGAGGCTTTAAGTTGTGAGAAGTTTTTGAGGTGGGGGAGTTGCATGACTTATAGAATTAAAGGTGGATGGAAGAATTTGAAAAGCATTGGGAGAAGTAGTGTGGAGAGAAATATTTGTACTTTAGAAGAATTGTTGAAACACAGGGCTCTGGGGTGCCCTGTTGAGAAACAAGATACTTAGGTGAGAGAAAGGAAAAAGACCATTCATTGGACATAATGTGCTGGAGATGTGAGCTTCAGAACATAAGTAATCAGAAAGATCTTTTGACATAATTAAAACAAGAATCATTTAGGTTGGAAAAGACCTCTAAGATCATCAAATCCAACTGTTAACCCAGCACTGCCAAGTGCACCACTATACCATGTTGCCAGATATACCTCCAGGGATGCCCCTTCCCAGGGCAGCCTGTCCCAATGCTTGGCAACCCTTTCAGTGAAGAAATTTTTCCTAATATCTGATCTAAACCACCCTTGGCACAACTTGAGGCCATTTCCTCTTGACTGTTGTGTTGATAGTGGAGCAGGGCAATATGGCAAGGCTTGGTGGTATGTGGTGGATATGGGCAGAGAAATGTAGAACCATTCAGGCTGGAGAGAACCTCAGAGGCCAGGCTCCTGCTTAGGACATGGTCACACAGAATTCAGATGAATTTTCCCCAGGGGTGTCTTGAAAACTTCGAAGATGGAAATTTTCCAGCCTCTACAGTCAACCCATTCCAGTGCTTAAGTTATTCTTACAACTTAAAAATATTATCCCTGCATCCCTTAAAGTATGGGAAGCTGCTATTATGTGGCTGTCTGTCCCTCCCTCCAACTTTTGCTTTTCCAGGCTGAGCAATACTGTACATGATTATAGAAATCTTTTTAGCTGTTCATGTATTAAATTATTCTGAGGTCATTAAACTTGCTCTTTTTTCTGTTTTAGAGAGAGTAATGTCTGTGACATAAATCCTGTACACTTCTTGTTTGCTATGGGGACGGCTGAGGTAAATGTTTGCATTTCTTCTATGAAAAGGGCAGTAGTGTTTGTTTCATTTTTATATTAGTTTGCATGAGGATAAGAAGAAATCATAAACCTAATTTGTTAATTTGATCTCATTTACTATGTTAGATATAGATATGTAAAGATGACTTTTTAGAGTGTAGTGCAGATAAAATATCTGAATTACTTGGTTGCTTAGATGCATGAGATTTTGCAGATGGGAGAGAAAATAATGTTATCTTGTTTTGCAGTGTAGCCATCTGTAGAAATTAGCTAGCATTTGTACCCTATTAATCTTAGGAATATTAGAATTAATTGTTTTGATTCAGATCACATTTTAAAAAATAGAAATGAAACGTTTGCAGCGTGTATGTCATTATTAGAACAACTCGTGTCAACTTAGGAAATTTTGTTAATTATTCATATATTAAATAATTTATAATTTTATTTAAACGTTTTTAGAATACCAGGCATCTGTTGCGTATGTTTGAACCATATTTTTAAACTGTTCAGGGTAAAGTGGAATGCTGGGATCCAAGAACTAGAAATCGAGTTGGGCTGTTGGACTGTGCTTTAAGCAGCGTGACAGCAGACACAGAGTGAGTAAAGGCTACCTTTTCAAAGTGTGTTTTTTGGTTTTCTTTCAGAGGTTTTGCTTTTAGAAATCAATCCCGCTTTGCATTGAAATGACCTGCCCGTGGTCTTCTCATTCCTCATGTGAATAAAAAGTTTTCTTAGTTATAAAGCAGTTCTCTTAGTCATTGATCTGAGTAGAAGTGGCTTTTTTCAATACAAACCCAAATTGTGAATGTGAACAGTGCCACTTTATGAAGTAGTATTTCTGAGTGATACCTGTAAGTTATTTTACAATAATTATCTTAGCTATTTTTAACATTAAAAAAATTATTTCCAGCCTTTATTGAAGAATGCCTAATTATATGCATTGTGCTTTGCAGGATAGAGGGTTTGCCATCCATTTCAGCACTGACATTTGATGGAGCTTTGAATATGGCTGTTGGAACATCTACTGGACAGGTAGATTTAACTTCTTCTACCATGGTTCTTAGAAGATCCTTTCCTTGCATTTCCCAATCCAAGTCTTTCATACATTGAGTGCACTTATTGTAATGTATCTATTACTGCAAGTATTTATAAGACTATAGATTATGTGCATAGAGTAGCAATAGTCATACTTCAACTGCATTTTAATTTTGTCAAATGGTCTTTCTCTTCAGAATACTCTAGGGACCACTTAAAATCATCGTAACCTACAGACTATATAACTTCAAATTTGCAGTTTTCTTATGACTTGAGTCAAGTATGTGGGGAAGTTGCTGCTTTTTGAGACTATCTGTACTATCTCAATGTGTGGTCTCCCTTATCTTGATGGTGGCTAAAGAAGCAGAAGTGATTGTCTTTCAACTGTTGCTTTTATTGTCTTACCTTAATATGAAGAATTATTTCAATTTATTTATTCATTGTTGCCATCATATTTGTAAAGTGAGGTGTGGGGATTATGTCCTGCCTTCATTAGTGTTTTCATGGGTTTAGTCAACTAGCTTGTTCAAGAGCAGATACGTGTGTAAGAATTGTGTTTGCAATGTTACTATACATGTCAGACAAGGTTTATTGGAGGTTGTGTTTTTGATTAAAGAGACTGCTAATGTTATTTGTCCCAAAAATTATTGGTATTCACACTTTACATCTGAGCAGTTTAGGGTCTTTCTCAAGTCCCACAGGAAATTTTTGAGATAAAAGTACAGGTTTCTCGAATATGGGGCCTGTACTCTCTACTTTCCTTAACATAAAGTTAAGGAAAACTTAACATAAGTTTCACAGAGAGAAAGTGATACTAAATCTGGAAGAGAGTCTGAAATTTTATATCGTGTAAGAACAGCACAAGAATCTGAAAGTGAAATATTAGTAATTACGAAATACTAAGAGTCTTGAAAATGGCTTATTTTATTCAATAGAAATGAAAAAGTCTTTAGAAAGATGTTGAGGTCCTAAATTTGTTAATTTTTCTAGATTGAAGCATGCTGGGGTTAAAATACATCACCAGAATAAACTGAGCTCACTTAAGAAGTTGTTTCCAGAATTTAAAATTATTTATGTAAATTCTCTCCATATATTTAAATATCAAAATCTCAAGTTTAGTTAAATATTTAGTGAAGATCTGGTGAGTGTGACTTCTTCATGATCTTACAATATTATAAATTTAATCTGTCTCTTATTTTTCAAGGTTTTATTATATGATCTCCGGTCTCATAATCCATTAATAGTCAAAGATCACCACTACGGCCTCCCTATTAAATCAATTCAGTTTCAGCGTCAATTGGATTTAATTATCTCTGCGGATTCTCGAATCATAAAAATGTGGAACAAAGATACGGTAAGTGGTTTCAGGTTGTTGCATTCAGATTTTTTTAATTTTATTTTATTTGGATTTTTTGTTTGTTTGTTGTTTGGGATTTTCTTGTACAGCTTGAATAAGAAAGCTAAAGTTCAGTGTAGGAAGTTGAGTTTTTAATGTGTCATAATTTACATAGCATTTTGTCCTGCCTGACTGCATCAACATCTGGAAAGTTATTCAACAGTTTGTCAGGTATAAAGATGTAGTCTTAGGGCATTTTTAGCTGTTTGTACATGTCTGGCCAAGCGGCTTTCAGTAGAAGGATTTAAACATAAAAAGTATCTTAGCCATTGCCCTGGTTTGTATTATTTCTCGCAGTGTGATTGAATAGATCCAGTTACTGTTTTCATTACCAAAAACGTGCATTTCAATTCCCTGCTCGAAGAGGGTTAATTTCAAAGGTAGATCAGTTAGTTAATGGCCTATTAAAATGAGGTGCTGCTTATTTTCACAGAAACTTGTTTGGATACTGAAGAGATACTATACCTAGATCCAAATAACTATGCCATATTAATGGAATATGTTGCAGTAGGCAACGTCTTTATTTCTGCCTTTTGCACCTTTTAAGTGAAATTGAAATCTCTAATTTTCATATCACTTTCTTTCAGTTTATTATGCTGTTGTTTTTCTTATCTTTCGGTCAGTGGAGCTTGCACAAAATACGTTACCAAGAGATTCGCAGTAATACTATTGTAACTTGGTTTGGTTTGAGGGGCTATGTGTAGTCATTGTATTCCTTCTAAAAAACATGCTCCATCTATGTTTTTCTAACTTTATAGTGAAGCATACCAAGAGCAGTTGTAGTAGAGGCTTTTTTTCTGGTTCTTTTAGGCAGTCATTTCAGTATTGTGTTGCTTCATGAACTTTCAACAGCCTCTTATTTTTTCTGTGATCGCAAGCAGTATTTTGTAAGCTCCTCTGCAGTTAATTTTTATTGTTTGAAAGAGCAAATAAATTATTGGTTATTATATAAAACATCTGTAGTGGCCTCTCTCCATTTTTCCTAGGTATGTATATTTCCCTTGTTAAGAATGAAACACTGTCAGGTGGCCTCTGGTGGGAAAAGGGAGGGTTTCTTACTGCTGGAAGGCAAAGATAGCTTTGGACTCTTTCCTAGAGTATGTTCCAACTGGCTCCACCTCTCCTAGATGCTGGTTCCTGACTATCTCTGGCTGGGAACCAACTGCAGAGGCAGACTTTGGGGTGGAGAGCATATGGCTTTGATACCAGAATAGCCCCATGCTGAGACGTGCCTTGGGGTGGGGAGCACGAGGCTTTTGTCTGCTGAGTCTGGGGTGGAGGAGGACTCTTCTTAATCATCAGGGAGAGACCAGAGGTGGGTGGGGTAACAGCATGTAACAGGGAGGGAAAGGAAGGGCCCAGAAAGGTAGGTGGGATTGCTGCAGGGAAAGAAAAAAGAGGAACAGGATCAAAATTTGCTCTGTTCCTGTCCTTCATTTAGAACTGTGTAGGCATGTACTCTCATGCTTTAGATTATGTGGCCCAGTTCTTAGAGACTCTTCCTTTGCTGGCTGTCTTGTGTGTTGGCTTATAAGAGCACCTGTATTTTGTCTGGGTTTTTCAGACTCTGTTCCAATTTTTATTATTTTGAGAATGTTGTTTCCTGCTTTTACCTCTTTCTTAAAAAGCCTTTATAGCTTCAATTTTGATCTAAGCTAGATATCACTGGATGCTGTACTACTTTTATATTAAGACCTATTTCATACTGAGTTTATAAATTATAAGTAAAGTGCTGAGCTATATCTCCTTTCATGTAGACATTAACAGGGTGCAAAAACCAAGCTCCAAATTCAGATTCCACTCCTTATCTGTTGTTACAGCCAGTCATACTTATCAAAGTAAAATAGTTTAAACTACCACATTCAGAGCTGAATAAAGTGAGGGTTACACTGACAGTGTGCCAGGAACTTACAGACCTCAGCCCCCCTTTTGCATAAAATAAAGTAAATCTGACAAGTATGTTTTCAGCACACAAGGGTGAGCTGAAAAATTAGAGGTGTCACTGTACATTGCTGTATCTTCGATTACCAGTAGCCTGTGCTTCCTTGTAAGAGATTGGATCAGAGATAAAATACAATACTGAGTTCCTTGTGTGTTGTTCAGATATTTAATAACATTTTATTGTTCTGCAAAATCTGTTCCATCTTTATTTTGTCATGTTTCTTAGCTTCTATAATGGCTATTCCTAATGTTTAGATTTACTGAATTCAATTATACTGTTTGGAATTCTTTGTAATTTATTTTCTTCCTATGATTTCAGGGGAAAATATTTACTTCAATGGAGCCAGAACATGGTATCAATGATGTCTGCCTGTATCCAAATTCAGGTATGTTAAGTATATTAATGTCTTGTTAAGTTCAAAAGCAAAAATGTGTGTAAAGCCAAGCTGTGATCTTTTTTTTCTGTTTAGGTGATATGCCTTAGGTCTACTTTCCTCCTTCTGACATAGCTAGGAATAAAGGGTTACTTGCCAGTTAGTGTCCTTGTTTCCTCTGCATCTGTATTATATGGGAGCCTCTTTGCAGTTAGAAGCTGCTGTGCTGTTAATTGAGTGATTGACCTCTTTTACTCTTTCAAATACCTCAAGTGATTCATTTCATAAGAATAGGAATTTTGACCTATTGTCTAGGCCAAGTCCCACATGAGTTAGAGCTTGCTTTCTAGAGATAGGAAAAATCTCTTTACAGCAAGTTTAGAGATTTGATCTTTCCTTGATTTAGATACAGCACTTACTGTGCCCTCTCTTAGATTTTAAGTGTAGGTTCCTAAGTGCATAGATTTGCATTCTTTTGTGGTTTTTTCCAGATTTGTTGCATCTCATAATGTTGAGTTTAGAGATCAAAACTGAGAGTCACTTTTAGCCAAGGTTTCCAGGACCTATCTTATGAGTAAAAAGATTTTACGAAGTGGTGGTTGTGGGTGCATGTGTGCTTTGGTTGTACTTCAGATTGTAACTGGCCTTAATTTTCCTGCTTCATCTGAGTTGCTTTAGTTCTTAACTACTGTGTGACATGTACTTCCTTTTTAGAAAGCAGAACTGAAAAAGATGAAATAAATTAGGACCACTAGGATGGCACAGAGCAAAATTCTTGAAACAGAGAATGCCTGTGTTTCAAGCTCTGCTATTATCCTAATTTTAGACAGAGGTAGCAGTGAAGACAGAGCAACTTGGACTTTGATTCCTACTAGCAGCTCAAATTTAAGATTGTAGATAAGTGAGTTTGAGATTTCTAACAAGTTAAAACTTATCTTTGTATTTTCTGCCAACTTCAGTTAAGAATGTGTTGAGGTTTTTGTTTTTGGTTGGTTTTTTTTTTGTAAGATGAGCACTTAAATACTGATACATACCCATAAATACTGATGGTGGGAATTTATACCTTATGGAGCAGGGTACATGTTGTGTGCTCTGGTTGTATGTATGAGTTCATGTGGGTGTATTTGAGAATAACTGCGTGGTAACAGGGTGGACTGTGCAACATGGACGCAGACAAATGCGATCTCTCATCCATAGTGGCTACAGAGAGAGATCATTGGAGCCGGTTATCTTCAGCAGTTCACCCAGGTCTGACCTTTGATGAGCTTATTGGTTTGATCCAAAAGAGAACCCAGGAGCAAATTAACATCCATGCAGCACTGATGATGAGGAGCTCTTCACAGGGAGTGAAACAGAAATAAGTCATTTGACAATGTAGAATCTTAGTGTAATTTAGGTTGGAAGGTACCTCTGGGAGTTGTGTATTTCTTACTCCAAGTGGGGCCAGCTTGAAGTTAGATGCAGCTTTGAAGTCTTTCAGGTTGCTCAGGTCTTAGCCAGTCAAGTTTGAATATGTCAAGGATGGGCATTACTCAACTATGGACGCTCTGTAGCCTCTGTGGTATGTGGACATGCCTCATGTGCTTTTGCAGAAATGATTTTCAGGAGACTGCAGGAAGAATCTTGTAGCACAAAGAACTGAATGTGCATATCTCCCTAATGTTACGATTGGACATTGCTTTTCATGTGTCTGATCTAGATCTAGACTGTGCATTCCAGTCTCGCACCCCACATCTCCCTAACAAAGTTCTGCTTTTCTTACTGTTCTTTTGTCAACCGTCTCTATATGGGGACTGGTTGATGGCTTTTCATAAGAACTGTCATGAAGTGAAAACTAGGTTGTATTTTATAATCATATGGAGACAGAAGGGAAAAAACTAGAACATGTGGGAAATAAGGAGATATAAGGTAAGAGGTGGTACATTGCATGTTTGCCATAAATACTGTTGGACCAGAATTTAGGATACCTAGAGCCACCTTATGCTCATTCAGAATTTAAAGAATAATAATGATTGAACATTTGAAAATAGGGAAATACTTTCATTAAGATGGGCTTGCAGTTGTGAAAAGTTGGAAATATAACATGATTTAAGTGGCAGTATGGCTTTGGCTCAGTGCTCTTATTGGTGCCCCAGCATTCTCAGAGCACCGGTGGATACATGGCACAGGAAACCCAGGAGATCTTTGCCTATCTTGTGTTTTAACTCTTCATGTGACACTGTTGCTCAGAAAACCCAAACCCCAGTCCCACCCTTATGACAGTTCTAACCCTTCATTGTCACAATTATAAAAAAATAAAGAAAAATGAAACTACATTGCAACATAACCATTCTGAATTATTTCTGAAATAGTGAGTACATCAGAGGACAAAGGAAGTGTTACAGATGTTTATTTGGACTTCTGTAAGGCTTTTGACACAGTCCCCCATGAATTGGAAAGATACGGATTTGATGGGTAGACTGTTCAGGGCATGAGGGATTGGTTGGATAGTCTCATCCAGAAGGTGTAGTGGTGAACAGCCCAATGTCCAGATGGGATCAGTGACAAGTGTTGTCCCTTAGGGGTCCATGTTGGGACCAGTGTTATTAAAAATCTTCATCAGTGACACAGACAGTGAGATAGAGTGCACCCTCTGCAAATTTGAGTGCTGCTTTTGATACACCTGAAGGACAGGAGGTCATCTAGGAGGACCTGGACAAGCTCGAGAATTGGGCCTTTGGGAACCTCAGGCAGTTTAATAAGACAAGGTTCAAGGTGCTGCACCTGGGTCGAGGAAACCCCTGGTATCAAGAGAGGCTGAGGGTGAATGGGTCAAGAGCAGCACTGCTGAGAAGGACTTGGTGGTGCTGGTGGATGAGAGGCTGGACAGGAGCTGGCAATGTGCACTTGCAGCCCAGAAAGCCAAACGTGTCCTGGGCTACATCAAAAGCAGTATGGGCAGCAGTGTTTCTGCCTCTCTGCTCTGCTCTGGTGAGACCCCACCTGCGGTCCTGAGCACAGGAAGGGCATGGACCTGTTGCAGCGAGTCCAAAGGCCACAAAGACAATCAGAGGACTGCAGCACTTCTCCTGTAAAGAAGACAGTCTGAGAGAGTGGAGAGTTGGTGTTGTTCAGCCTGGAGAAGAGAAGGCTCTGTGGAGACCTTATTGTGGCCTTTCAGTATTCAAAAGGGGCTTGTAAGAAAGATGGGGACAAACTTTTTAGCAGGGCCTGTTACACTAGGATAAATGTTTTTAAACTACAAGGGATTAGATTTAGACTAGATATAAGGAAGAAATTCTTTATAATGAGAGTGGTGAATCACTGGCAGAGGTTGCCCAGAGAGATGGTGGATGCTCCATTCCTGGAAACTGTCAAGGTCAGGTTGGGTGGTGCTCTGAGTAACCTGATCTAGTTGAAGATGTCCATGCTTGTTGTGGGGGGGTGTTGGACTGTATGACCTTTAAAGGTGCCTTCCAAACCAAACTGTTCCCTCATTTATGGTAAAGTGTATATCAGTATACTGTGAATTATTCTTTTGTCATAGTTGGGTTTTTTAACTAAACTGTTTTACCAACAGCTTCCGTATTACTACCTTTCCCAGGGAGCAAATCCTTGTGTGTATTTCACCAAACTACATGATGACAAACTTTAGTGGATCTTTTAATAGTTATGAATATCTTTCTTTAATCACACATGGACAGAATGGGGCTGGGGGAAAAAAGGTTTACCTCTTACTGAGTGGCCTTTAGTCAACTATTTAAGTTGCAGAATATAAATAAAATGTGACAGCATCTTCAGTGTGTAGAAATCTGTGCCTCATTTGTTTCAATTCCAAAGTCTGGTTTTTCCTCCTTTAATTATTGGTGGAAAACTCTCAAAGAGGAGGTTTTCCCTTTACTGTCATCTTTGAAGCACCTGCAGAATTAATTTGTCTTTATTTCTAGTGATTCATATTCAGTCAATGGAGAAATGCTTTGTCTCATGAAATAGTAGTGAGCATGCTGTTAAGGGAGCATGTAATCTATATCCTGTATACTATACCATTGTACTTTGTGTATATACTATAAATTCTTGCTTTTTCCTTAAATTGCTCGCAAACCTTTCCAGATACAGTTTTAGCCTCAGTTTGTTGACTAAGCTTTCACAAATACCTTGATCTGCCAGGAAAGCAAGACCCCGTTTTTTCTGACGTTTTAAGTCCAGCTGCATTGTGTATTTATAATAAAAGGATTAGGTAGGAAGGATTACTCCACCCATGTTAATTGCATTCCTCTAGTTGGGTGTAAATTATATTTCTACCCTCTGGGTGTGTAGTAATTGACCCAATTATTCATAGTCTCAGTGGCATATGTTACAGTTCTTTCAGATGAGAACGTTATCTAATTTGATGGCTCTTTTCTTCTTCGTATTCAGTCTCTTGTATTACCTGGTGATCAGCTTGGAAAGATCTTCATCAGAAAGATAAAACTGAGATAAACATAAAAATATATGCCAAATGTACTTATTACACTTTTGTGTAGAAGGAAATTAGGAGTATTTCTGATTTTGAATTGACATGAAGTCTTGTGACAGTAGGAGGTTTTCCAGAGATTTTAATATTTCTACAGCAGTTATTTTTTATATTCAAATTTATTATATTCAGTACTTAAAACTCTTATTCGTGGTTTTTTGTGGGTATATTCAAAGATATTTCAAATTTTACGTTTGCCCTGATTGGCTAATATCAGTAATATTACTTTTTTTGAAGCCACAGTATCCTGTGTCTCATTTTTTGTTGAGAAGGTGCTGTTGTCTTAATTTCCCAAGATGAAATATGAATGAAGGTGTAAACCACGTTGTGATTTATGGCTTTATTTAGACTATGGGTGTGTGTTAAAAAGAAAACAAAAACCCAAACCCCTCATATATTAGTAATACAAGTGTATGCCCAAGGTAGGTTTTAAGTACAATACTAGCTGGGTTTGCTCTAAACAGTATTATGGGGTGAACTGTTTAAAATGGTTGTGAAAATTTGCAGCCCACATTTGTCAGGGGTTAGTGTTGCTTGAAGTGGTGCTTAACAGTTAAGATAGAGGACAAAGGGGGAATGAATATGTAGGAAATGAAGCTTTGTTAGTTATGCTGCTATCAGACATTTCTTTCCATGGTATTTGATGCAATAATTCATTATAGATCTCAATTAATGTTCCATTCCAGGCCAAGAATATGTACTGTATTAGCTTTCTTTTTTTAAAGTAGAGTTATCCTTTTATGACCAATATTTTTAAATGTGGAAATCTCTTTTTAGGAATGCTAATGACTGCCAATGAAGCCCCTAAAATGAATATCTATTATATACCAGTAAGTAATACAAATTTTTACTGATACTGCTTTTACAAGACACAGTTTTTTGGTGCCATTTAGGTATTTTTGTTGAAAAATTACTTCTGCAAATTCACTTCTACATTCTCTGACCTTTCACGATAAAGTAAATTTAAGTTAACCATAATTTATTCATGTAACATATTGAATTGCTTAAAAAACAGCCTGTAATTTGCCTTTTGCAACCAGTTCCAAAATTGACTAGTGACGATAGAAAATTCCTGTGGAGCTTTACTGGAAAGAGTAGGGGTTTTGATAGCTGATCAGAAAAGAACTCCTAAGTAGGGACTATATTTTCCAAAATAATAATTTTGCTTTTTTTGTGAAATATTGCATTAGCATCTTTAATATGTGGTACATAGTGACACAGTCATAGCAGTAAATATTCTCTCCTCTGACAAAGAAATGCTATTGTGTGGCTTCAGTTATTGCTCTTGGCTGTAGCTTCTGGTCAATTCCCTACTTCAACTGCAGCTTTTCACTGGATAAGCTCTTCACTTAAAAGGCTTAACTGTAGGTTCAACTGTATATTTTATCTCTGCAGATTGGTTTTAGGGAGACTTAACAGCAAACCTTCTGGTGTTAGGGAGTGGTACAGAAAATTACACCTGCATTTCACTCTTGGTTTAGTTTCTACAGTGCATTCTCAAGGGTGTTTTTTGTCCTGGTAGAAGATAAATAATAGCATACCTGTGTAAATGTTACCTGGAGAATAGCTGACCAGAGTCTGAAAATATGTACACTTCTTCTTAAGTAATTTTTGCATTCTGGACAAACTGTAAAATTTATTAATATTGAAATTTATATTTAACTGCTTTTTAAACCAGCCAGAAAGTCTTCATTCAGATAATTGGTTTAAAATAATGTAAATATAACTGTCTTTAGTTCATGTCTGGGTTGTCCTTTCGCCACCTCCACCGTGTATGATCTTTCTTACGTTTAAGATGGAGATTCATTGGTTTACATTTCTCTTTGTACAATAGACACTGTATACCTGCTGTATATATATGTCCAAACACAACAGTATACCTCTCTAAACAATTCTACAGTCTGGTTATATTTACTTATATTATTAAATTTTTGCATTTAAAGAAATGTAAAACTTTATACATGAGTTCTGTGTGTGTCATTTATGTCAGGTACTTTGGATGTAAATTACCTATTTCTCTAATTCATCTCTAAATAACTTACATCTTGTTAACTGGTGCTGTTCCATGCTTTGGATAACAAAGGGGGACAAGAAGTACATTTGTATTTATAACAAAGTATTAACTGTAGTTAGAAGCTGAACACCTCATTTGCTTAACCCTTTGTAAGACTGAGAGAGTAGCTCTGCGTTTTTTTTTTATCTATCGTCTTTTTAATTAGTGGATTGGGAAAGACAAACTCCCATATTTTCAAGGTCTGAGTTTTTAAAAATGGAATGGACTAGTTATTCAGTTTAAGTAATTCAGATGGAAAAAGCATTCCTTCTGTCACCAAAGGTAAGGTTCAGCTTCTCTCTGAAAATTGTGCACTGAGATTTTTTTTTAAATGCAGGTGTGCATGTAGTACATTAGAGGTGCATATCTAACTTTGCCAAAAAGTTATTTCATTGTCTTGATTGTCACCAGTAATGAATGTTTGTTAGAACTTATTCAAGCTAGTATTATTTTGAGCATTTTTGTACATATGGGTAAATCAAAGTGAAAAATATTTTCTTTTTGCTCTCTCAAAAATCTCACTCGCGTAGAATCCTCCATTAATACTAAATTTGTGTTTCTGGAGTCAGACAAGTAGTTTTAAGCTAAAAACTACTAGTGCTGAGAGCACTCTGTGATCTCAGATCATGCTGAGAGACATTATTGCAAACATGAATACTGACTAATACTATCTAGTATTTTTGCAGCATTCAGGCTGTTACAATGAAGATTATCATAAATCTTTCCTTAAACCATCTTCCTTTGTCACCATTCTCTATTTATGGGTACCTGAGTCTGCCTAAACTTGTTTGGATCATACCTTTTCATGAGTTTTACATTCACAGTGACACGAGTGTACAAGTAGACCCAAATGATGAATGTTAAAGCATAAATCCAAATGGGAGTTCATTTCTGAAATATTGTTGTATACAAGAAAATTTAAATTTATTCAAAAGCTACGGTCGAGATTGAATTTCCTTTTTGGGATAAGCTAAACTTCTCCAGTTTGTGTAAATATCTTTGAGTTTGAAGGGTGCCAAAGATACCTTAAATACTGTCATGACTTTCTTAGTTGGGAATCTGTAGTTCATTGCAAAATATTTAATAGTTATTTTCTAAAATAGAAATGTTAAATGTAGTGAGAAGGAGTTACTTTGAAATAGAGACAGAAATCTCACACTCTAGTCTGACTTTTTTACCCTGTCTGCCTTTTTACAGGCAAGACTGAAGGGGTTGGCATAGGCAGTGCTGTATAATTGAAGGGTTTTTTACTGCATTTCCTAAAAATCAACTATGTAGCTCTGTAAATTTGTTTTTGTTGGCAGTTTTGGTTTTTTTTTAATCTACCTTTTAAATGAAGAAAATATAAAATGGTGCAGTTGTGTCAGCCTTAAACTGCTCCAGGGCATTTGTTATTAAGGAAAACTCAATGTTATTAACGTGTTCATGTTACAGTTTTATTCCTTGATCTTTTGGGCTAGTTATTTGAGCTCAGAGATGCACACCTGTCCTTTCTGTGTCAGTAGATTATTAATACATGGGGTTTTTTCCATCCTTGGAACACTTAGTAATTTCCCTGCACTGGCAAAGATGAATTTAGTTGAATGGGTCTTTAGAGCAAAACTTTAAAGAACCTGATACCTTTTCGTGGTCTCATTTTCTGGCCTTTTCTAAGAACTAGGATTCACATTTTTTTCAGTGAGTAACTTAATTTTGTATTTGTTTGTTTACTTTGAGATAGACACGTATACTGCTAAAACTGTGTCCTCTGTCTTTGAGATGGTGACAAGAGTTAAGTTACAAGTCTTCTTGAATTCCACAACGGAATAAATGCCTGGGGGAAATGTTACTACTGTAAAGGACAGTTGTGTTTCTTGGAAGTACTTTTGTGTAAATAAAATCCATTTAATTGCCCTATCCCCTCACTGATCTATAGTGCTGGTAATTCTCTTGTTTTAAATCTTCATTGGAACAGGTAGAAGGATTAGCCATGGCTATGGTCAAGGAGGATACTTAAAATCGCAAATGTGTGATGATGTGCTCTATGTAAGAAAAATGCAGATGGGTGCAGACAGACCCAGCATCCTCTGTCCTTGACTGAAGTTGGCCAGACAGTGTAGGACTGTGCCCAGCCTAATATACCCTGCCTCTCAGCAGGTTTTATTAGTGTGGGCACAGTGCTGTGCTAACACAGCTACATGACTGCTGAACTAGAGCTGGCTCGTGTCCGGCCAGCTTGGAGTACGGTCTGACTGAGCTCATGTCTGACTGAATTATCTGTGTGCATGTGCCCATTCTCTCCATTGTTAATGCCAAGGCTGAATTTCCATTTCAAAACTGAAAAATTACTGTCTTGAACTTCAGGATTATAAAAGATTTGACAATGAGTATCATAATATTGTCTGTGAATTAGTGAAATCACATCAGCTTTTCCTGAAGAGTTTTCATCAAGATAGTATATGACAGTTGAGACTGGGAATGTCTGAGAACACTATGCATTTCTTATAAAAAGGTAAAAAAATTACTGCAGTTATTTCTTTTGTGTGCAAAACTTTTAGTAGAGGAAACAGAAGGTAATTTTTTTATTTGCTAGGAAGGACAGGCAGGTTTGCTTTTAAATGGCAAGAAGATACCTTACATAGGTACACAGTGCAGAGAGGGAGCAAAAGCCAAACTGAATCTGACCATTAAAATTAAATGTTTGTTTTACAAAGGTAACAAAGGTAACATCTTGAGTGGCTTACCTTAGAGACTTTGTTTTGTTTTATATTTTGGGCTTTAATGAGGGCAAGTGCTTCTGACTGGAATTGGGCTGTTTGCCAGTAGTTTAATAGCTAACTTGCAGTTTATGCAAACATTTGGAACCTACTGCATGCCAGCTGGCTTCCTGGTACATCGCTTTGATGTGCGCCCTGGGAAGGTTGAAATGAAAGTTGTGTGTGCCTTGGGATAGTTTTTAGACTACTGACTCAGAAACATAAGGTGAGTCAGTAGTGCAGCCTGGTCCCGGCCAAAGAAGTGAAAAGAGGCTGAAGCTCCACTGACACATGGTGGTCCACTGGCCTGGGATGTAAGATGAGTCAGATTCTCTTTAAGTTTATTTAGGGCTGTCAGCTTCCATGACATATAATGTTCTCTTTTCACGTTGTACAGAAACCCCCCTACATGTCAACTCCTGGATAATCTGGGTGGAAAACAAGGGGCATAGATGTTTCTCTGAGTGTTTACTACTGGTTACATGAACATGTCTTATCTTAGCACAGACACTGCAAATCAGTGCTGTCTCCTTTATTGGACTTGAAACTCTGGGCTACATTCTGAAACTGAAACTTGCTCTATTCACTAGGCTGTTAAAAGAAGAGAGCAATTAAGCATGTAATTAATTGAGTGTAATATTCTATGTTCTGGATTTTTTTTTTGCTTTCCTGCAGTCTTGGCAGAACATTCCCTGTTGAGGCTAGAAGCAATGTACTTTCAGTGTAGCGAAGATATTAAGCTCTTTAAGAAAAAATAAGTCCTGGAGCATTTTTGGCTTCTTTTCAGGTGGTTTTGGAAAATCATTTGGTACCCCAGCACTCTCATAGTTCAGGGCTGTTGGAGATATAAACTGGAAATGTTTCAAAAGCAAGTATTTCTTACCTACTCAATGATTGTGTTTCTCCAAGAGTATAAGGGATCTGGTTTCTAATACAATATCCACTTAAGATATATGGATCTCTTTATGGCTAGAAATATTATTAGTTTTGTCCTCTTCAAATTGGGTGGCTTTTCAGCTAAACCAACTATTCCTGGTACTTC